AGCACAGTAGAAACTGACAGCAATTGTAAAAAAAACGATAATAAATAGATTTACATTTCTCATTTTTGCTTGTAAAACGTATCTTCAACACAACAGGAACATTCTAATGATATTACTTTAGTCATTTTTGCATTTAAATCATTTTTATACTTTTTTTTTATTTGATCTTAATTTTTCATATCGATTTAATCCTTATGGATCTAGATATATTAGTTTCCACAGAATGACAGAAAAACAGCAAAAAATGTGTTTGATGTGCACTCTTAAAGCACATATGCAAAACATAAGTTGAACTGTAGCCAGTTAGAATTGTTGAGTAAATGAACCATCAATACATCTATTTATGTTCAGCTATCATTTTTCTGAGTTTTATAATACTTTGTATTGTTTTAAAACAAAGTCACTTTTTTTCAGTTCTTTCTCCAGGTGCATCTTGTTTCAAGTGATTTGATAAATATTTCCTCTTCTTGATACAAGAAGATTGTATAGATTATGCTCAAACAATTTCATTTAAATTGTCGCGTTTGTTTTCAAAGCAAGATTCTTCAGCTGTCTGAAACATAATTTATTTGTTTATTTATTTTACTAAAACGATACATCTAAGTCTGAATAGTGTAGCGCTGATGAATAAGTAAATGAATGAATACAATTTTTACTCTTCAGGTTAAGTTTAAAACATTTGGTTTTTTTTTTTAAATTCCCTAAAAAAAACTATTACTTTTTTGTAGGCAAAATTTATTTATTTATTTTTTGGTAAATGGACCTGTAGTAGTACGCATCAATCAAAATATCATAAGGATTTATCAAAAAATGTCCCATGTTTGAGCAGTCATTAAATAAAATCTCATTAGATTTTTTATTTAATCCATAAATAAAGGCCCCATTTTCTTTTCTTTTTTTGTATTTAAAAAACATAGCATATTTGTAAGTAAATGTTATATCATATAGTCACGTAAGCCTACTACCTTTAATATCTGATTTAAAAATTTTATGTGGAAAAAGATATAGAAATTGTATTAAATTAACATTCAGCCATAACAGTAAAACGTAATAAGAGTTGAATATTAAAATAGACAATTAATTAACAACTATCAGTTTAAACTTGCTAAATGTCAATTACGTATTTTATTTGCTCGTGTTATGAATTACCGCGATAAGAAAAAAAAAAAAAAAAACACTACATCCTGTTTCCACGGAAACAAGTTGACCCGGAAGTACTCCATTTTCCGCGGGTCTTTTGGGACAATAACACAGTGTGCAGAGATGGCGGGTAAGGGGCTCATTGCTAAAGTTTTGTAATTATCTAGGACGCCTGACGTTGTGGTTTGCTCTTTTATGGATATTAGCATGACTTTTAGCCTGTTAGAGGCGCATACTTCACCCAATATGTCTTCAAAACACGTCAGAAAGGAAGCTAACAACACCTAGCAAAAGAAGAAGAAGGGGCCTACACGCTAACATTTGCTTTTGGGCTGTCATAGCATGAAAACTTTGGACTTTAGTTACGCTTAGATTCAACTCTGCGTTTAGATGTGGATTTATTAGTGAGTGCTGTAATCTCGCTGGTTTGCAATGTTGCAGTTTAGTCTGCTGGCAGCTTTCTATGTGCTGTAATCATCAGCAGTGTTTTGCTAAATGTTTTATGGAGTCACAGCCATTCAGTCTAGAACATCTGTATTGAGCACCTCGAATTTTAAGAACAGTAACTCATGTTTTTTTTGGGTTTTTTTTTGGAAAACTATATTTTAAAGGCGTTTTACTATTTAAATGCTACCCTGCAAACGATATCTGGTTTAGAGTGGGTCATTTCCCTTAGTAAAATACATAGCTATCTGAGAACTACATATGTTATCCAGTCAGTTTAATGATTTAAAACATTTAAATCTGACAAAGTAACAAACTACTACTACAACTAGTCAATTTCCACCAAACCATATATTTTTTAAATGATATTGTTAAATCGCAACATGTGCAACTGAACCTTAGTGTAAATATTGCTCACTGTGTTGGACTGATGTACTATTATTGATGTGAATTCCCAAAGTTTCTGAAGACATTTTTTTTTTCTTTTTAAGATATTTATTTTCTGTGTTAGATGCATATGTGGTTTGATGCCTCAAAGTTTAATCTCCCAAAAATGCAGACAGAAGTTAAATACTTGAACTGGAAAACCATTAAGTGGCTTTAGTTACAGTGAGAAAATAATTTCAACACTGCGATTTTGCAAGTTCTCCCACTTAGAAATCGTGGAGGGGTCTGAAATTGTCATATCTGCATGTCCACTGTGAGAGACATAATCTAAAAAGGAAAAAAAAAATCAGAAATCACATCGTATGAACTTTTGAAATTATTTATTTGTATGATACAGCTGCAAATAAGTATTTGAACACCTGAGAATCAATATTAATATTTGGTACAGTAGCCTTTGTTTGCAATAAAGAGCATGTCTTGTAATTTTTCACCAGGTTTGCACACACTGCAGGAGGGATTTTGGCCGACTCCTCCACACAGATCTTCTCTAGATCGGTCAGGTTTCTGGGCTGTCGCTGAGAAACATGGAGTTTAAGCTCCCTACAAAGATTCTCTATTGGGTTTAGGTCTGGAGACTGGCTAGGTCACGCCAAAACCTTGATATGGTTTTTGCAGAGCCACTCCTTGGTTATCCTTGCTGTGTGCTTTGGGTCATTGTCATGTTGGAAGATCAGCCTCGACCTATCTTCAATGCTCTAACTGAGGGAAGAAGGTTGTTCCCCAAAATCTCTCAATACATGGCCCTGGTCATCCTCTCCTTAATACAGTGTAGTTGCTCTGTACCATGTGCAGAAAAACAACCCCAAAGCCTGATGCTACCACCCCCATGCTTCACAGTATGTTCTTGTTCATTCTTCTTCCTCCAAACATGGTTAGTGGAATTATGACCAAAGAGTTCTATTTTGGTCTCATCAGACCACTTGACTTTCTCCCATGACTCCTCTGGACCGTCCAAATGGTCATTGGCAAACTTAAGAGGGGCCTTGACATGCGGTGGTTTAAGCAGAGGAACCTTCTGTACCATGCGTGATTTTAAACCACGATGTCATTGTATTACCAGCAATAACCTTGGAAACTGTGGTCCCAGCTCTTTTCATTGACCAACTCCTCCCGTGTAGTTATAGGCTGATTCCTCACCTTTCTTAGGATCATTGAGACCTCACGAGGTGAGATCTTGCATTGAGCCCCAGTCCAAAGGATACTGACAGTCATGTTTAGCCTCTTCCATTTTCTAATGATTGCTCTAACAGGGAACCTTTTTTCATCAGGCTGATTGGCAATCTCCCCTTAGCCCTTTTCAGCCTGTGGAGGTGAACAATTTAGTCTCTAGTGTCTTTGGACAGCTCTTTGGTCTTGGCCATGTTAGTAGTTGGATTCCTACTGATTGTTTGGGCTGGACAGGTGTCTGTATGCAGCCAACAAATTTAATTTAAGACAATAAATGGAGTGGAGGTGGAAAATTTTGAAGGCAGGCAGATCTTTGAGGATCAGAATTCTAGCCCATAAACAGTTGTTCAAACGCTTATCTGCAGCTGTATCATATAAACAAGTAGTTTAAAAAAACATCATACACTGTTATTTCTGGATTTGTTTAGATTAAGTCTCTCAGAGTGGACATGCACCTACGATGACTATCAGACCCCTCCGTGATTTTTAAATGGGAGAACTTGCAAATAATAGGGTGTTCAAATACTTATTTTCCTCACTGTACATTAGAGCCACTATTTCCTTAATTTGCTTTTTGTTTGAATTAATGAGTGTGATTCCTTAATCTAAAGTTACTTGTTCATATCTTCTGCTTGTTTTTTTGTTTTGTTTTTTTTAATGAGTTGAGCAGCGGACTTGAATGTTATTCAAAGGACAGCTCCAATAAAATGACATGTTTGTACATCGTAGGAGTTATAAAAGGAAAACGGTTGTGCATGTTATACAAAATTTCTTGTTTAACAGTTATGCTTTGTGGGTATCCACAGATGTAAATGCAATGGAGAAGAAACTGGCCGAATACAAGTGTAATACAAATGAAGCGATCTGCCTGAAGTTAGGTAGGTGTCTTTGTTGTTGTTTATTTCCTGATATTGCCTCCATTGTAACACATTTAATTTCTAAGCGTAACTGATAATCTGTTACTTTCAGTTCGTTTTGCAGATGATCTGGAAGATGATGGCGTCACATTCCACCCAGAGTACAGCCACCAAACATTTGGAGATGAGTGAGTTGTTTTTTATTTTTTTGAGGGGCATTACTGTGTATTTCAAATTGAATCAATGAGTTAAAGTTAAACAAGGATGTATTTGCTCCTGCTGTCTCTCTTCTGCACTTTCATCAACCTAAGAAGAGTGACACGATGAGTCAAAGTGGCATTCCTGCTGCAATGACGCACATTTAATAAAAACATTCAATATTTTTAGGCACCCCAAACTAATATTCCTTATTAACTCGTAGAATTTTCAGGAAGTCGTCTGGAATTTTTGCATTTTCTTTATTTTAATCCTTCTTGGGGATTTTGGTACCTACTTTATTCAGAATCACAGAGCCTTTAGTCATTATTGTACAGACTACAACCAAATTTGTTTCAGAACAACCAAAAAGCACAGAATTTTAGTAAACAATAGGTTATTTTTACACACCTCTTATTGTGTTGTTATAAAAACTAGATTATTTGACTCCAGTTAATAATAACTAAAAGTAATCAAGGTCTGCTCAAAACTATGAGAATTAAGTATAATTAATTTTTGCATGATTGGTAGAAATATTATTAAATGGCCACCTTTAAGTACATGAGTATAAAATAGTAAGTTTACAGATGAAAAATGGACGTTGGTAGGTAATGCATATAGTGGCATCACATTGCATTTAATCCGGCATATTTTTTTTTTCCAAAAATGTTGACCATATGCATTTTATGTTGTTTGAGCCCCAGTTATATGATTATTAACAGTTATTACCCTATTTTCTTTGCCCTCGTTCGGCACCATCAAAGCACATTTCCTCTGCTGGAACTAGTTAGCTTACACTGCAGGGAGAGGGTCAAATCAGAGTACTGTGTTAGCAAATGTCCCAGAAAAAAGCCCTGTTACTGAGGTAGGGCTTTTTGTATTGATTGTAAACTAAAGTTAGAGGTGTTTTTTCTACATTATTTGTACCAGTTTAATATTCCTTTCATTTTTCTCTTGTCAATTCACAGTTTAACCTTAAACCCCAGGACATGAGTTCTTTATTTGTTTTCAAGCACTTATTTAATCCCACCATTCTTAATGTCAGTTTTTTCAGTTTCTTCTCAGGTGCTCAACTCACCAACTTTAATTATATTAAAGAGGTACTTAGAAAATATTTTGAAGCTTTTACGTTCTTTGATACATCTTACATGTTCTTAAAGGTTAGTGGAATGTTCACAGAGGAGTGCCTTGCCTCTGGCTATAGATAGACACCTTGTAGGGTTTAATTATCAAGTATCTGGGATTACTCCAAACCTCCTTTAAATTATAAAACAGATTTTAACTAACCCAACATCTGTTAACATCTGTTCTAGTCACTCATTTCCAGTTTGTAGTACCAATAAGTTTCTTTTAACCACAGTGTGTGTAAATCTGAAATGAATGTGACTTTGCTTTGGTGTGCTGTGTTTAATCTCAGTCTGGATTGTTGCGATGGTCAGAGAAGCGCGTTTCTGGATGGTGCTCAGAATCTGGCATAAGCATAAAGGTTCTCAAACCGGCAGGGAAATGGCACAGATAGATAAAAAGATTATGGGAGAAATATTCTGTAATCCACAGTCGAAACACCGTTTCATCGGTACCTCTCAGTGAAACTGAGAATATTGATTTAAAAAGGACCCATCTCTCATTCTTTAATGCCTTTTTGAAACTTCTCTTTCTGAGTTTAATTATTATTGTCGACTTGGGTAATAATCTGTTGCTGTCTGCACAACATTGCATTACCAGCTGGCATTCTTTACCTAAGTGTGTATATTTTTTTAAAGGGGTCATAGAATGCAAAACCGAGTTTACATTGTTATAGATGAATAACGATAGTTCAGTGGGTGAAATGGACGTACAGAGAGGTTCAAACCCCATTGAATTCTAAACTTTTGTCACGCCCCAAATTTTACATACAGACCAGCCCACTGGTTCACTGGACCAAGAACATGAATAGAGGTGAAGAGGTAAGACACTAGTTTAGCCTACAGTTGGGTTTAGTTCTACAAGAATTACAAAGCAGGCAGTTTCTCTATTGAAAATGTGCCAGAACCACAGGTGTAAATGCAGTGGTCCAGGCTGCACAGAGGAGGGGAAAATGTTCACAGTCTTCCCAAGGATCCGAAGACTCAACAGGCATGGATTATTTTTGTGTATCAGAAGATCCCTGCAAAGTTTGATGCTCAGCTGTTCATTTGCTTTAAGCATTGTACCGAAGACAGCTTTCAAAATCTCGGACAGTTCAAAGAAAGATTTGCTAAACTTCTTTTACTGAAACAAGGGGCTGTTCCGACCGTATGGCCTTCACAACCGCAAGCTGTGAGTATTATGTATTTTTTGGGGGTGGGGGGGGTATGAAGTGTCGGCTTAACCGGACCTCAGCAGAGAGCCATGGGCCGCCGAGGGGCCGGCGGGGGGAAGCACAGGGCCACCTGTGTCCAGGCTATCGCCACCGGGTCGGGTTCGTTCACTCCTTCCCCCGCTGGTTCCCTGCCCCCGGCGGTCAGGTTCCCGAAGCTGACGGCTCGGTTCAAGTGCCTGGTGTCTATGACTACGTCTTGCACTGTATTTGACCAAAATCCCAGACAATTTTGAAATTCCCCCGGACATTTTTTGGGAATGAAAAGTAGGACATGTCCGGGAAAAAGAGGAGGTCTGGTCACCCTGCCATATCAACAATTTAATGTTTCAGTGAGTGAGTGCTTGTTGCTATGATGCGTCTTTGCTCAGCAGCTTTGCTCTTTGTAAACCAACCAATCGGCGCACAGCTCATCTAAATATTGATGAGCATACCTTAAAAGGGAGAAAACCTGTCGTTTCATTTTAGGGCTTTTAACCAGGCTGCATTAGGGCTCATAGAACAGCAAGTATGCCATTTTCAGCCCAACAAATGTTTCACACCCTATTCAGAGACCTTAAGGACCAGCACCAAATACCCTATAGAATCATTCTATGACCCCTTTAAGAGTTGGATAATTTTATGCTTGTTTCTTTGAGCTTTGTTTGATAAGCATGCAGAAAAGTATGAAACAAAAAGAAAAGCCTAATATTTTCAGCTTGCTGCCTTAAATGTGTAGTGGAGGGTTTTCTTTTTCCGGATGGATCATCTAAATAAGTGGTCCTCCTAATTGTTAATAATTCTGGTGGCATGTTCCCATAAGGCCGTCCTACGTGTTTGTCCCGTTAGCTATCTTTTTCTGCGCATGCGCACTTTCAGGCATATATCTGTGGTGAGATACGGTTTCAGGTTCATTTTCTTTTAAAATGGCCGAGGGTCGTAAGAGAAAAAGTGTTTACAAAATGTATGAGAAGAGGAAAAAGGCCTCAGTAGAGAGAAACAAGTCCAGAGTGTTTTTGGGAGATTCTTTCACACGATAGCGTACACTAAAAGCACAGGTTGGGCTTCCCACTGATGCCTCGGTTGCAAAGTTTCTACTCGACAGTTAAAGTTTTGCATGCTGTTTGGAGAAATCCATCTCACATCACTGCTAGTAAAAGTTATCTACCTTTATATTATATCTTTCCAGGGAAGTTACATTTATTTATTTTGTAATTACTACTGTACCACTCAATTATACTACTGTACCAGTAGTCTTATTTGCAGGGAATATTTTTATATATAAATATGGGAGAGATGAGATCCATCCAAGCGATTAATACCGTAGGTGTTCCTTCACAGGAACAGGTACAGTGTTGTGTGTGCCCCTTTTTTTTTGAAAGTGGAGAGGGCGGGTCTTTTCAAAAATTTGCGAAAATCCTCCACTTTACCTTTAAGACTCAGTTAAGAACATCGGGCCAGTCATACAGTCTAGTTAGACATTAGTCAAACGTAAAAAAAAAGCTACCTGCCCCATTCTTACCTCCAGTTTTTTTTATTTTAAAATCAATTTAAAATACACCATTGATCCTGAAGCAAAATAAAATATTGTTACTCATGTATTTTTTTTTTCTTTCTTTTTTCAGCAAGTTCTAGATCAGGGGTCTGCAACCTTTCATATCCAAATAGCCATTTTGCTTCAAGTACGACCAAGTCGAAGTTGTTTAGAGCCGCAAAATATAGCAACACTTTACAAAAAAAACTAAAAACCTATTTATTCTTTTTATTATATAATAAAAAGAATATTATATTAAAATGATATTAATACACATAATTCCTACATTAATTCAAAGAATAATTGCTCTTAAAACAGATTTCTGGTTCTTTTAATATCATTCATTAATTCTGGTATTCATTATAGTACATTATTTAGCTCTTTATATACATTTTAAGAGCCGCTGGAGATGATCCAAAGAGCCACATGTGGCTCTGGAGCCGCAAGTTGCAGACCCCTGTTCTAGATGTTACTGCTGTAGACAGGAAGGGTTTTTTTGTAGCCGTCTTTCCTCGAGCCAACCTGTTACTTTTCTGCTTAATTCTTTACTTTCAAACAGATTTTTACTTCGCTTCGACAATGAAAATCCTCTATAGCTGCTCCTAAACAATACCTTAACCACCCAGTGCCCTTCAGGACCATACCAGGACTTAAAATATGCTGCAACTGCATCTACAGGGTGTAGTTTCTTTGTTGTTGTTGTTTTTTTTACTTCTGCTATTTCAGCTATACTTCATATTTATTAGAACTCATTGTACTCATAAACTGTCTTGACTTGGCTCATGCATGTGCCAAACAACCCAACCTCTTGGAAAGGAAAGCCACACACATCACAGGCCCAGAGACAGCGTGGAAACTCCTCACAGAGAGGATCTAGTCAGTTGGCACAGTGAATATGTTAAAAAATCTTGCTTGGAGGCGATAGTAATGCTTAAATTCCCTCATTAGGACGGTTCTTGCTGCTTTATGACCATACATAACATCCTGTCTTGTATATTATTTTCTTTATATGCTGCATGGTAGCAGATCCTTGGAATATGTCTTGAACAAATTTTCTCACAAAGTTTGGTTATTAAATATGTTTAATTTGACATCTGCTGGTAATTAAAAGCAGCACATTGTGATCCTTTTCTAGTGCATTTTTTCAGCTCTATTTGCACTTTTGTTTCAGGCAATTAGACACTGATTGAATAATTGGAGGTTATGACATCAACATTTTCTCTGCTTTTTAGGATTAAGTAAATTCTTTTTTCAAAGAACGTTACGATTAGAGCTTTTTTGTTTGAATTATATATTTAAAGAGTTATTAAAGCAAACTGTTCTCATAAAATAATATCTAAACCAGTTTTCTATCAAAAAATTCGTTTTAAATAAGCTTGTCATGTTTTTTTTATTTATTATTATTCTTTTTTTTTTTTTTATAACTGAGTGAAAACAATGAGTAGCCAGATGTGGCCATATGAGCACAGATTTTTTTTGTTGGACTCTCCAAAACCTGGCAGAGTCGCAGGATTTCAATAATTTGTCAAACCACAGAGACGTTGAACTCGAGCAGCTCTACGCCGTTGGCAGTGACACCTGTCTCTGAGCACGGACGTACAGTAGCTGCTCTAAATTGCACTTCCAAATTAGTCAAAACTAGGATCGGTTATTTTTGCGTTCGCTGCAATCAACTCAAAAGGAACTCTATAATTGGGGCATTAATTATTTCAGCAAGCGTTAATTGCTGGTAAACCTTAATCACACAGTTGCATAATGATGAATCTGTTTTGCCATAATGTATTTGTTTCTTTCATTATCATTTCACAATGCAGCACGGTGAAACTAGTGACCCAAGTAAACATTCACTATCCCCAGGCAGGTGTATGTTCAATGATGGTGAATGCAAAATGAATAATCAGATGGTTTAATTTCCACCCTATAATGAAATTATGCATGAAGCTGGAGTTTTATGAAGTTTGTGAGTCTCTTGCATATATTGCAAACTCTGTTATCTAATGGGAGCTGTGTTTTCTCTGCAGTGAGATTGCTTTTGGATACAAGGGTCTTCAGATCCAGCTTTTCTACACTGCTGGGAACCTGAGCACTCTCTTCAAAGTGAAATATTCATCAAAAGTTACAGACACATATGACTGCGTCGAGGTAAGAAAACCCGTTTTTATCGAGATTTGGTGTCTAAATTCTTCTAATAATAAAAATAGAATTTAACAAATTGAATTTAACAATTACTTATTGTTAAATAAAAATAAATGGCAATTTCTTTATGGAGCTGTTAGTTTAACTTTTTCCCTAATAAGTTTTACTTTTTACTTTTTTTTTTTTGAGTCTGGGTGTCTGTTCATATGCATCACTACATACCAGCTAAGGAAATGTAGTCTGTTTAAGAGCACCTGATCTAAATGCAGGAAGCAAA